AGAGCCAATTCTTGAATGAGGTGAGAGACTGTCTTGCAGGTGGAGGAAAGAGCATTTCAGGTAGAGGGACAGCTACTCTAGGGTAGGAGAACGCTTTAGCAAGTCAAAGGACATCAAAGAGCCTGGTGAGGTTGGAGCAGACTAAGGTAGCATGGACTAAAACCATTATAAAAATAATTTTTTAAAATACTATAATGCCAAACATGGTACTAGGTATATAGTGTTTTTGTAAGTCTCTTTTACTTCATTAAATGAGAATAGGTTTTTATTATAAAATTTCAATGTATATCTCATTGAATTGAATTCAAAATATTAATTTTTTTCTTCCGTGAGTCACTAAAGCTTTTGATATTTATACTCCTGCTATTGTCTTTTTTAAAGGATGGAAATAAATTTATATAGAAAACTAATCATGAATATTCAGCTAATTCTATTATAAAGCAGAATAGCTAGTTGAGCTTAATAGATGCATAATTTATTGAAAGTGTAATGTTAAGATTCATTCTTCACCCATTCATCTAATATATATTTATTGAGTCTATAAAATATTTCAAGCACTTGATTAAGTGCAAACTATAATGAGTCCCTGACTTTAAAGATTTTCCATCTGGTAGAGGTGAGAAAGTAGGATTCAAAACATATTCTACAAGTGCTATGTGAGCGGGGAAACACTGTGTGCTCTGGGAGCACATAAGAGCTGCATTAATCCTGACCTGGGACAATGAAGTCTTCCTTGAAAAAGTGATATTTATTGTGTTTTGTTTGTTTGTTTTTATTTTTCAGAGAGAGGGAGGAAGAGAGAGGGAGAGAGAGAGCAACATCAATGTGAGAGAGAAGCACTGAAGGGTTGCCTCTAGTCCGCTCCCTGACTGGGGATCAAACTCACAACCTGGGCATGGGTCCTGACCAGGGATGGGACCAGAGACCTTTTGGTGCAGAGGATGGTGCTCAGCCAACTGAGACACACCAGTCAGGGCAAAAGTGATGTTTTAGCATGAGACCTCAGGGGTAAGTGAGAGGTGGCTTGGTAAAGATGTTGGTAAAGCTCCAGGAAGAGGAGACTCCCATGTGAAGATCCAGAGAGGGGAGAGAGCTTGATAACACCAGGGAGTCACTTAAGTCTTTCACTAGGGGGAGGACATGATCAGATTTTCTAAACTCAAAGGATCATTTTGACTATTGTAGAGAGTGCACTGAAGGAGGCAAGGAGGAGACAGAAAGACCAGTTTATTGCAGTAAGTTAGGCAAGCAAATTAGCGTAGCCTGACCCAGAAGGATGACAATTACAAAGGAAAAATAACCAAAGGAAACAAATAGGTGGATTCTTGATGTACTTGGGAGGTGGAATGACGGAGTAGGTGCAGGAAGCGGGGTTAAGCATAGCTCTGTGTTCCGGGGGTAAGCGGCAGATGGATCTGAACTACTTGCTCAAACCAGAGGATGAGAGGCTGGGGGCAAGGAAAGAAACTCGTGGGCTTTATTTTGTTCTCAGTTTGTAGTGTCTATAAACATCTATAGATTTCCTCTGAATAGCAAACAAATAGCCAATAAATAGTTGGTGATTTGTATCTGAAGCTCAGGACAGACTTAAGAGGCAGAAGAGACAAAGACGGATATTTCATTATAAAAGAAACAAATAAAATGGTGCCTTGGCAAAATGTTAATTTGTACGTTTTATAAACATAATCCAAATAAGTCATTTTCTTCTTATAAAAAATAAATGTATGTCAATGTTGAGACTATTGTAACTACACCTAAAAGTACATAGTAAGGTGATATTTAAATGTAAAGTATTTTTTATTACATAGTAAATATTTCATTATTTTATCTAAGAACAAGAAATAATATTTAGCTAATAAAAGGTGGTTTAATTTAAAACATGTCATTTTGCTCTACCTTTAAAATAATTGTTATCTTTATTGTTTTTAGATAAAAGCTCTGTTTATGGGTTTTACTTAACATGATATTACCCAAGCATGAACAAATGTATGCAAATGACTATTTCAAAGGGAAACACAAATGGTAGGTAAAGAAAGTCAACCAGGAACAGGACTGTATTTATAGTGTCCCTTCTTGGATCTAGATGTTCAAAAAGAGAGGCTTGAATTGACACACATATATATAGGATACCTCCCCAAAATGTATACATACTATGTCTGTAGATTCTACTACATTTTGAAAATGAAATGTATTTTAATAAACACTACCTTTATAATTATTCAAAGTGTGTATACATTTTTTGGGGACACCCTGTATATCTGTGTAAAGAGGTATGAAATAAAAAATACAAAAATCAAAGTAGGTAGCTGTCATTATGAATCCTGCTACTTCTTTCAGCATTGCAGTTCATAAAGTGTATTTGTATTAGTGCCAATTAATCAGCATTATTGTTACAATTTATTTAGCAGGTTACTGAGTTAGCAAATGTCCTAAGAGGGGCAACGCCTCCAGAGTATAAAATAATATCACCTGTACTTGGAGAAACAAATAAAATTGTTTAAAAACCATGAATTTTGGATTCCGTGACCCAAAGTTTTCTTCTTTGTCAAATGGAGATATTAATACATAACACAAAGTAGTATATTAAGAAGGAAATGAAAATAACCCTTGTGAAAGCCTTGCCAGAGAATCTAGCATAAGAATCTAGAACTGAAAGAGAACCTTAGTAGCAGAAAGGGGCTCGAAAGTCATGGAGTCTACTCAAGGCATATTAAGAGATGGAAAACGGAGATTTAACAAAGTATAATTAAAAGCAGAGTTTGGAGAAAATTAAAACTGGCTCGTACATTATACTCCACTGAGATGGAACTTCTTAGAAATCGCTCCCCACGGTTGGGGCGAATGTTGCGTGGGGATAAGATAAGACTTGTGACTCGGCATCCTAGGTAGCTTTTCCCTGACCCATCTGGGCAGGTGTGTGAGGAACCTGGGTGCTCTTCTGAATCAGGGGCGGGGAAGTTTACAGGTCTCCCTGCGGCTCTGGCGAAAGCTGAGGTCAAGCTCAGGTACCCGTGAATATAGTGTAGGAGGATGTGTCGGAAGTAAGTTGGTGTGGGTGCCCCAGTAAAGGTAGGAGCCGGGCCACTTCACAAAAAGCCAGAGTATCGGCTACAACGTAAGTTTGGGAGGTGTTTGCATTTGAATACCATTTTTTAATCATGAGCAAGAATGTGTGTGTGTTTTAACAGTAGCTAACAGCTTACCTGACAGAGTTTTAGATTGTTAATTTTCTTGTTATACCACAGTGTTGATTTACTGAGACCCTAATGAAAACTTATATATTTTAATGGGTAAATGCCACTTATATAAAGGATCCTTGTCCCGTTTATAGACCAAATTATAGTTTAAAGCAAGAGTGAGCATATTTGGTGTCTTTTTTCTTGCTTTCTTTTATAAAGAAAAATGATTTATATCTTTAAATTTTAAGGAGATATGATATTATAAGGACAGAAATAAAAACTTGTGTCAAATATTCTAATACTATCTCTATAGGAAAAGAAATTTGGGTGGTTGCCTGACAGAGACTCTCCACCAGAACCCTGCCATGAAACCCAGAGGATGCCTCCAACTCCCCCTTCCTCCCATCGACCACTAACCCAACGGTGAAGAAAAAGAGAGTATCTAACTTGCTTTGAAAACAGACACTCCCAATCTCTAAAACTTACGTTTTCACATTCAAACCTATTGCTGGATAGTCTTCCCCTTCCTTTAATTCCACCACTCTTTTTAGTTTTACCTATAGCAGCCAGTTTTCTGTATTGTCGGTATTTCATAGGTGCCATTTCAAAGCTTAAGAAATGTCATGTTACTTTTATTGTCCCCATGGCCCCAACAATTCCCAAGGTATTTCCAGCTCAAAGAAAGAGAAACTCACACTGCAGATTTTTGCGGGAGAGGTAAAATAGGAATGACTGTTATTAACCTCTGCGGAACATAATATGCCTCAGCTCCTCCTGTGAGGCTCACCTGGGTTTTCAGAAACCCAACAGGACTTCTCACAATCCCCTTTGCTGACGATATGCATCTGTTTCTTGATGCTACAGTGTAAAACTACAGTTTTCCCTATTGACTAACGTCATCGATCATGACAATGCACTTTCATGAATATGATTTAATTTCATTAAGCACAACTGTTTAATATCTGGCTTCACAGGCTTACTGTGTCTTTTGGGCAAAGAAAAATATAACACTTCTTGAAAGGGGAGACTAACCTTATTACCAGATGATCTGTTCCTATTAATTGCATAACCATAAAGCCCATAACAACAGAAACTAAGGGCGATTCTGCAGGATGCTGATTCAAAGATTTAAATAGTTAAGGAAAGATACCTTTACTATAATTTTATTGATATTCTTTTCAACCCCAGACACAAAATTTCCAAAACTACTTGGTCATCTAGTCAAGTTATCACTGCCATTCTGGGATATATAAGAATATGCATTCTGCAGGGATTCAAAGGTCTTCATTGGGATGTCGGGATACAGTTGCTCATTTAGGCACCTGCTTATTTGGTCTACTTACCTTTGCTTCCCAACTGAGCTGGCGTTAGCAGGAGAATAAGGGGCCTACAGAGAGCTTCAACAATACTGGGCATCTTGAACGATTTGAAATGTAGTTTTTGTTAAGTTGCCTTGATCCATAAATACCTGTTTGAATACCTTTTGTAGGTTTTTTTTTGTTCTTTGAACCTCGATGAGGACCATTCTGTGACAAAATTCTGGCACATGGTAATCAAAGCAAAACTACAGCTCATTTTGTTAAATCATACCAGGCGATAAAAAAAAAAAAAGACAATAAGCTAGCTTTAGTACTTAAAACAGGGCTGGAAATTAAAAGAAGCGACATCTCAACTTTTGGTTGAGGATCAGCACAAATAAATTCAGAAAACAAAAACGTGTGAGCCGAGGATCGCCGGTCTGTTTTATTCTGCTCTCCCAGGACAATGGCTGTTTTCGGTGTTTCCTTAACCCTGGTCTCCCCGCGCTGGGACCCCACTTACCTGCAGTTGGAGTGGGCCTAAGCCTGGGGTTGCTGCGGCCGCAGCTGCCATGGTCGTTGGGATCAGCTGGACAGGGTAAGGGTCACCTGAGGAGGAGAGTAACGAGGCGTCAGCACCTTTTATCTGCTCTCCACCTGCAAATTAAGCTCGCGCATTCCCTCCTCCCCAAGCCCTCTTTTGTGTGCCTCCCAGGCCTGATGAAAAGCTCTATTGTGCAGCCTCTTACGAACACTCTTTTCACGATTCTGGCGGAGAGAGGAATGCGAATAAAGGCACAAGCAATTAAGGCGGAAACCTCATCCTTTTTTCATGATGTTTTTAGAAAAATGGGAGGGAAAAGTGTGCATTGATCAGAGAGCTGCGCTTTGTAACACACACACACACACACACACACAAGCTCACACACGCACACGCACACGTGTGCGCACCTGACAATCTTGATAGGAGCGCACCGACTCGATGAACTCAAGATGTTGCAGAAAATGTTATTATAAAAAGGAACTCAACAGGCTTAATTCTGTTTTCACAGCCTAAACTCTAAAGATTTAAGCCACATAGCTTATCTTTTGAATCTATGATTCAAGTAAGCGCTTCAGTAACGTCTCGTGGACAAATTCATAATAGAGAAAGCAATTGATGCACTTTTTAAGTTACATAAGATATTGGTCCCTTTATTATTCCAGAGACAAATGTCTATAAAGATGTTTAAAAGAAAACAGAAAATAGGCCGTTTGTTCCTGAAGGGATTCTCTTTGTGGGAATATCTAAAAAAGTAAATCTTAGTAATTCAAAATTAATCTTAACATATTAATATATATGACCTAAGATAGACACACATATACACATACACACATAAGGAAGATTATCACGTATCTTTTTTGATGCGAAAACTTTTTTTCCACTTAGCAAAGAGGTGCAGCAGACTTTTTGCATAGAGCCCAAATGCATGCCAACAGATATGAATGTTATTAGTATTTGAATAACCACAGCAAGTGATTAAAAATAATAACTATAAAAATAATTTTCTAACATATAAAACAGGTTTTAAAAATCTAAGTTGTGAAAAACTTTTTGAACATCAAAGGTATGAAAAATATAATTGACAATAACTCGGTTAATAGATTCATTAAAAAATATTTATTGAGTACTCGCTCTGTTGTTAAGCACTGCCCTTGACTAGAAATAGAGCTTTAAAGAAGACTAATATGCACAGGTGAATTTACTGGGAATTTAATGAAGTTTCGTCTTTGGGGTTCTAGGGAGGGCCCCTAGCAGTGTATTCACAGGGGCATATGTTTTCATATTTGTCAGCTTCCTTAAATTTTTACTTTGTTGGAATTTCTTTTTATATTGAACATTCAAATTTCACTTAAGTATGGGTGTATATATTTTTTAATATTTTTATTCTTAAAGAGCCCCCCCCCCCCAAT